TTCTTGCCACTTTTGAAGCAGTTCTAACAGCTCTTTTTTATGAGGTGGGATCAAATACACAGTGAATGCTGCACCCAGTGCCATCTAATGAAAAGGGAGGCTTGTAAAAATATTTCAGTGTGTCCTCATATACATTTTCACCAAATCTGGCACCTTCTGGCTCTTCCCTTGAAGTCAAAATGATCACAAAAGGTAAGCGTTTTGAACAGACCAGGACATCACAACAGTGAAACTGAGGACTTCCAGAACTGTTTTCAGAAAGTGGCAAGAATGATGTGGATAAGTCCATGTGAAGTAAGGCAGGGGAGGGGGTTGCAGGGTGGCAGCAGTAAAGTGAGGAAGATTAATCCCAATGTGTCCTTTATTGTAACACATTAAAAAAAATTTTTTTAAACATTCACTGTTTTTTTTTTAAATCACAACTTACACAATCTGAATTGGTCATGTAATTTTTCAAGATTAATATCTAATATGCCTAAATTTCTTTAATTGAAATTACCATAAGGTTCCCTTTTAGGAGGAAGTCTGAAATTTTTACTAAAATGAAATCAGGGACACAGAGGCTAATCTGAACAGAAAAGTTAAGAGAACGCAGTTTGGTGGTTAAGAAAAATGGCTCTGGTATCAGACTATCTGGGCTATAATTTTGGGCTCTACCACTGAATACCTAGGGAACTTGCAGATTACTTTGCTTTAAAGGTTATGCTCTTCTGATTAATGACAGAAACCAATGGTTATTTCCTCTAATTTAAATTCTTAAGTATTTTAATGTGTCAATTTTTAAAAATAAAAAATGTAACAAATCTCAAGGTCTATTCCCCATCTAACTATAAAATCTATTTCTGATATGATCCATGAACATAGGTACAAAATGTACAGTCATGCATTTCAAGCAGGAGAGAAAAGATAGCCATACTGGCCTACATGCTCAATATGCAATCAGTTTTTCTGTATCGCTGAGTATGAATGTATACTTGAATTTACTAACACGAAAGAACCCAACTGGTATAAGGCAATAACTAATTTCTCCTTTAATGTCTCCTCGTCAGAAGGAACCTCTGCCTATATTGTAAAACAGGTTATTTGATTCGCATAAGTCTCTGGGCAGAAAAAACCATGAACATGACCAACAGGGAAAACCAAAGCCAGGACTAGGCAGAGGGCAAGGGCAGCCTCCCCAGGTATCTCTGCTCTCTTTACCTCCAGCCTGTATTAACAACACTGGTTTTTTTTTCAAAAACATCAATCTAAACAGGCAGAAATCCCAAAGAGAATAGTAACAACCTCTTAATGTTATATTTAGAAACAAAATCCCGGCATGCTGCTTAAAGGGTAGTCATGTTTCTTCAGAGAGCACAAACAGAGGTCCCACCTTGGCTGTGCCAATGAATGCCCCCTAGGATGACAGACAAGAGGGCCCTGCACATCACCAATAGGATAACACACTAGGCACTCTCTGAAGGTCAAGCCAAGTGTGCCAATTAAATTAGATCATGTTTTCTTTCCTTCCTGTTAAGTCAGAAAGAATATTACCAAGAAGTATATGAGAATAATTTATTTTGGCTTTGAATGAACTATTCCTTACCCACTCCCTTGAGTTCAATTTCTTATCTTTTGGCTCTCTACTGAAATGCTTTGCTCTGTATAATCTTAGGCATTTCAATTACTTGAGAAAAACAAAAAAAAAAATTTAGTTTAATCTTTATTAGATAGCTGCAGGTTTCACTAGGAAGGATTACTGGCAGAGTATAGGAATAAAGACCTCAGTTCTCTGAACGTATTACTAGTGGAATGACCAAGTCACAGTACTGGTGGAACGACTAAATTATTGAGTAGGAATAAAAAGGTATAACAGAATGAGGAAAAAAGAAGCAAAGTGGCTCAGAATTCTCTCTGAAAGCAAATATTTAGGTTGAGAGTAATAAAAACAGTTAACTCACACTACACAAGAATATCTTCTCGACTTTATAAGTGTTTATTTTCTCTTAAATGAGTATCACTATCTAAAACCCAGTGATTAACACAGATGGAAAATATCCAAAAAAAGCAAACCGACAGAGCTGGGCTCCCCTAAACAAACCTCGTTCGCTACAAATAATCAAATCTTTCCAATTTAAGATAAGCATCTGTTATTACTAAATTGTAAGTTGTTTTAGTCTTTCTGCTAACTTTGTTGATGCAAAAATCCTTCTTTATCTGATTCCAACATATATTTGTTTTAAAAGGAAATTCACTTTATAAGAAATCTCCCCATTTAAAAAGTGCTACACTTTAAGGACCCCCGCAATCACATAACAATTACAGAAATCACAGAAAGGAGATATGCAACTCTCTAATGCTGACGAGAAGTTTGTTTATATACATACTAAGCTGTTGAGTTTCACAGCAGTTCCTAGGGACAGTTAGCCAAAATTACCAATGATCATTTTCATGCAGAGATAAAGACTTGGAATGACAGATTAAGTGGCCTTCAGATTCTGGCCATCATATCCAAGGATGTGCTGCTCAATCAGCATACTAAAATTCTGTCAAGTATAAAACTCAGGTTAATAGACTTTTCTAAGAGCAGTTTTCAAACATGGGCAATAGAAGCTCCATCTGCTCATTTCCAAACCTCTACCTTTGCCCTTTGAAATTCCAGGATTCTGTGGAAAACAGTTGCAAAATTACTATTGTAAACATAGAGGACACAACAACAGAGTTGCTAAGATCTCTACTTCCTTTTTATTTTTTCTTTTTAAAGAAATTGTCCAGCTGATTCCTACTGGGTGAGATGCGTGCTGAAGTCTGGTTCCACATCTCTGGGTATCTTCTCTGGTTTCCCTTTTGTCTCAGTCTTCTACCTAGTCTACTAAGCTTTGGATAATGTATTTTTCCTAATAAGAATCCACTGGCTAAAAGTAAGGAGTATGGACTCTGGAAAAGAGCTGGCTACAAAATATGTCACACAGGCATATACATGCTCACATCCATACTCCATGATAGCTGCCATTTTTGGTTTGAAACCTTAAAAATCAAAGCATAAAACTTCTTTAAGAGGCTTTGATCTACTATTAAAAATAATCTTTAAAAGTACTGTCTCAGGGCTGAGGATTTAGCTCAGTGGTTCCCGTGCCTGCCTTGTAAGCACAAGGTCCCAAGTTTGATCCCCAGTACCAAAAAAAAAGTACTGTCTCAAAATTTTTCAAAAACATACCCTAAATTATCAGTGGTGATCAATGCGTGGTTGGATGGTTAGATTTTTATTTCCTTCTTTTTGTTATCTGTAATCTTGACTTTTCTACAACTCACTTGTGTTATTTTATTTTTTTAAAATTTTATTGGTACATTTTAGGTATACAATTCATTTACACTTATCATTGGGTGCTTGTACCTGTACATGATGTATCTTGGTTCTTATTTTTTTCCCCATTACCTGTGCGCCTTTCACCCCCTCCGCCCTTACCTATTTACATAGATTTCATTTCCATTTTTTTTCTTTTCTCATAGTTTTTCCTTTCCCTCTTTTCCTTTCCCCTTCCCCTCCCTTCACTCCTTCATCTTTGGACCTTTTTTCCTATTTCAAATTATCAATTATTCACTTTAATCATTTTAACCCTTGTTTACACTATCAGTTTCTCATACTAGTGAAACTATTCGGTATTTACACGTGTGTCCTATTTATTTCACTTAAGAGTATGGCCTCGATATGCATCCATTTAGATATAAATGACTGTAGTTTTTCATTCTTTATGGCTGAGTAGTACTCCATTTTATAAAAAAAACACATTTTCTTTATCCAGTTTCCAGTTGATGGGCACTTGCGCTGCTTCCAAGCTTTAGCTATTATAAACTGTGCCACTATGAACATGGGTGCACATATATCACTGTGGTATGATTCTTTCAATTCTTTGGGGAAGATAACCAGCAGGGGAAGAGCTGGGTCAAATGGGACCTCTAGCCCTAGTTCTGTGAGGTATCTCCACACTGACTTCCACAGTGGTTGCACCAGTCTGCACTCCCACCAACAATGGAGAAGGGTTCCTTTCTCCCCACAACCCCGCCAGCATTTGTTATTGGTTGATTTCTTGATAGCAGCCATTCTTTCTGGAGTGAGGTGGAATCTCAGGGTTGTTTTCATCTGCCTCTCTCGAATGACGAGTGATGTTGAACATTTTTTCATATATTTGTTTGCTGCTTTTACTTCTTATGAGTAATGTCTGTTAATTTCAGATGCCCATTTTTGAATTGGGTCTTTGAATTTGGGGGGTCTGATTTTTTTCAGTTCCTTATATATTCTAGACAGTAGTCCTTTGTCTGAGGTACACAGCTGCTAACAATTTTTTCGCATATTGTAGGCTGTCTGTTAGCTCTGTTGGTGGTTTCACTTGTGTTATTTTGTTTAGCCTGGTTACAATAATTTACTTGTGACTTCTGCCAGAGGTTTTTTTTTTTTGGTATCGGGGATCGAACTCAGGTCCTTACGCTTGCGAGGCAGGTGACAGAACCACTGAGCTAAATTCCCAGACTCAGAGTTTTCAGTACTCTGTATTAGAGTTCTAAATGGTAATTAAAGTGTCCTCTTCTTTAGGTTTCACACCTCCAAGAAATGCCAGAAGAGTTTCTTGACAATCACAAGCACCCACTCAGAAGGCTTTTCTCTAGAGCACTGGTGCAGTAGATGAAAATGTACCAAATGCCATACAGCAAGCATGCTGGCAGAGGGTACTCAACCTTCTCATCAACCAAGAGGTTCAGTTACAGAATGGTCTAGTAGAGCCAGCAACGTTTGGAACAAATGCAAACACCACAGTGGTCTTGAGTCAACTAGGGTGTTCAGGCATGCCACGCTGATCACAGGAACCCTGGGACAAACTAGATCTTCATACTTCTGTAGAATAGTTTAACCAACAGGACCAATTACTGAAAAACCTTCACACTAGACTAGCTTTCTACCCAGAAAGGCAGAGAGTAGAGCAGCTTTGAGTCACCTAGAATTAGTATTTTAACTTTAAGCTCACCTTTGTGTCCGTGGTCTTCACCCCATGAATTCTCTACTCTCCATTTCAGAAATGTGCCATCCTGATCATCCTGAAAAAAAAAAAAAAAAAAAGAAAAGGCTGATAGGGTACAGTATGATTCCCCCTCCTGGAGTGTCATGCAATTTTAGCTTGCTGCATCCACTTAAAATAAACACTCTGCTATATACAGCCATGATGTACCATGATCAGGGTCATGTATTTTCTACTATCACTAAAGGGATACACACTTCAATAATAAGTGGAGTAAATAAAGCTAACAAACAATAAACACTACCTTTTCCTTTACATTCCATTCTATAAGAAAATAAATTGATTGGGCTAGGGATTTAGCTCAGTGGTACAGCACCTGCCTTGCAAGCACAAGATCGTAAGTTTGATTCCCGGTACCCGCCCCCCAAAATAAATAAATACATTGGTAAAATGCTACTTGGCTAAGGAAAATAAAATATTTTAAATTATTAAAAGTAGTGAACAGCATTTGAAGCCAGGATTCTTTTTTTTTTTTTTTTTTTGGTACCAGGGATCGAACTTGCTATGTCTCTCCGGTATCTTTCTAATAATGCCATGA